TATATATATATATATATATCAGAAGTTAGAAACATGCAATGTGAGATAAAGATTAATTAGAAATTATTTTTCTTTTCGAAAAAAGAAGCGAGAATAATGTAAGAGAATGTAAAATATTAATATTTGAAAGAATGAATATTGCATAACATGAAGAATAATATTGTGCACATTGATATTATTGAATTATTCGATATAAAAGAAACGGAAATTTCTTAATAATAAACCTAGCATTAACAATTGGCTAAAAGGCAGCATCCGAAATGCATTTCTCCGCATTTCTTTTCTCGTCGACAAGTCTTCTATTTCCGTCGCCAGAAGTAGTGCAATCGATGCGATGGTTCATCTATTCGATCACCTACATTCATGTGAACCAATATTGCTTAATGTTGTCACGAAGGCAATTTCCGTCTCGTATACAGAAAATAATAATGGCATACCGTGACATTTGATTTTCGTGTCCTTGGAGACGTTGGAGGATCGCGAAGGATCTCTCCTTAACCGAGACTAGATCGCTACCTGCGCGACTTGACGACCTTCTTGTATGGGACTGTCGGTCTGTTCTTGTTAGCTGCGAGCTCCAAACCGCCCCGCGTCAGCTGATTGAAATCGATAATGGTGAGCCGCGGCTCGGCGGGTCGCCCCGTCAGGGTCTGCACTCTGTCGAGCGGTGCCCCGGGGCTCCGGAACCTGTGGCTCGGGCTTTTGCACCCGCCGCCGACGCCCGTTCCAGTTTCACTCGCGATTCCGGTTCCGGGCTGTTGTCCCATCCGCGTACTACTCATCGATCGGTAACGAGCGCTCGGGAGCTGCTCAGGTTTCTCCCGGAAGTACCTGACGATTTGACCCGAGATTAGCCGAGTTTAATTTACCTCGGTAAATAATATGCATCGTCCTGAGCTCTAAACTAATGTTTTACGTTTTCAAGAGGATCTTTGCGTCTAGGGAATTCTTTAGTTTAATAGAACTATCTCTGTTGATCTTATTAAAGTAGTTGATCCTCATGCGAAAGTTTGTCCATACTCGAGAGAGCAGATTATTGCAATAAATCAATATTGAAATGATATTCCTTCTTCTTAATTTTATCTTTAATCCTACAAGCAACTGATTATATTTGGACAAAGTGAAAATTGGACAATCCCTGTAAGCACACAATATTCCTAGAATGTTATTTGAATATTATTTACTCATTTTAATATTCATGTAATATTCTAAGAATATTGTGTCTTATAGAGATTGAACAATCTATATGATTGGTATGATAAAGTTCTAAATTGTAGATAAAAAGCTTTGAACCTTTATCTTCCAATTGCAAAAGTTTACTTGCATTTTGTGCACTTTAGAACTTAGGTGTAGTTTCCATATCTATAATACTTGAGGATTAATAAGTACAAATTAATCTATGTTAAAAGTCTCCATGTAAAAGTTTGGGACATTTAGAGTGATCTATATGCGATACATCTATATGCGAAAAAAAATGAAAATAATTACTCGTAGATGCTGGCAAGATGCAAAGTTGCCGGAATTCGGACTGTTCTTGGTTTGGGCTCCCTTGGAAGACGATGTTTCTGCCGAGATTGACGCGCTCGTCTGCTCGATGGTTGATCGGGAAGCCCCGACGGGATAAGCCCAGTGAGCTTGTAATATTCTAGAAAAACGCGTGCCAGATTGCGACCCAGTCTGTAATCTGAATTCGACTCCGACCGTTAAGGGTTCAACTTTCTCTTGATCTAAATCTACATTCAAATTTTGACGCATGTATAATTAATAATATCAAAATTCTTAACAAGATTTCAACAATTTTAATTTTGGTATTTACGTAGCAATATTAATTTTGCGTGGAGAGAAAGAGAGAGAGAGAGAGAGAGAGAGAGAGAGAGAGAGAGAGAGAGATTTTATATTATAATTTTATATTATAATGTGATTATAAAATGATCGTGAAGGATACATCCTTCTTCCGTGTACGGCATTATACCCGGTATTCCCTTTTTGTTGTAACCATACATAGAAACCTCGATACTGTAGCAATTGACATGTTCCTTTAGGATAGAGCATAGATAACGGCGGGCAGTTCCGGCTTTGTTGTGATCTTGATTATACATAGTGTTGCCCAATTCATAGTCCTCCGCATGCTGAGCTAACAATTTCGGCAGGACAATGTGCCTCTCGTACCTGAGGGGCTGGCAGCCATGAGTCAGATTAGGTTACAAGCGCGATTAACGTTAGATTTCTATTCTCTCACTTCACGGTAGAATAGTCCGATTTCTTTCAAATTTCGCTTAACGGAGTATTTCAGATTATTTGAAATTAATTAGAGTTACCTGTAGACATCTTCGTATGTATTTCCGTAGACGAAGACGCCCGTGGCATTGGTGTGAGCGTGTAAATCCAGCACGCAATCCAATGGTGTCTGTGCGTTTTTATCGAGCGATTTTAACATCGCTCTAGTCGCGAACAAGGTAGGGTGAATCCATTCAGAAATGCAGTTCCAAGATCGATTCAGATCTAATCCCATCACGGTAGATCTTAGCGTGTAAAATGATTGAATATTATTTTCTCATTTACGATGAGAAGAACGTTCGCGGAAACAGCAAACTTATTTATTCGATTTTCAATTTGAGTTTTTATTTGTTATTAGTTTATTACGTCTATTAATTTCTTCCTGTTCTCACCTGTAATTTCCGAGAAAGGCACCGTCAGGGTTCAGCATCGGCACTATCTTGAAGATGACGTATTCTCTTAGAACTTGAGCGATAGGATGCGCACTGACTAAGAAATCCATCAAACCCTGACACACGAAGGAGGACGGTGACTCACCGGGGTGAACTCTAGCGAGGACGACGACCACTTTTCTAGATCGTTCCACGTCTTCGAGGTCGGAAGTTATAGTCACGAGCTCTACATTCCTCTTTTGGATCGACTCAGCCAACGTCTCTCGCTTCGTATATAATAATCTACTACATAAGTTGTCGAGATGCACCATGTAACGCGTGTACGAGTATGGATACGTTAGAGCGAATTGATAAACATCATCTTCACGGTCGAACGCAAAAGCGAAGCTCAGTACATAGTGATTTTGATGCTGCGCAGATCTGTAATAGAATACCTGTAACATGGAGCAGAAATGCTTCTTTTATTACTAATGAAATTGATAAAAATATAAACAGATTAATAATGCGAATTATAATGTAAATATCAAGAGAAAGTTTAGTTACTTTCTTTAGTTACTAGTAAAAGAGTGATTTATGTCAAAATTATATTTTATAATATATTACTTCATTTTATGACGATATTGATTGATCAAATTTAGCTGTCAGCTATAGGCAACGTGATAATCATCAAACGACTCACGATGCTGATAATTCTAATTTAAAGACTACTGCTTGATGGAGTAATTGGATATTGAAAGAACCCTGGCACAGTTTCTCTAGATTTAACATGAAGATACTTCTAATAAATTGAAATGTCTGCGTCTCTCAATCATGCGATAGATACAATTGATTAGATTTGTTAGATTGATATACATACATTTGCAAATTGAAATTGTAAATTTAGGATAGTGAATTAAATAATCGGGACAAAATATTTTTTTAAAATTACTTTTCTATTAGTTTCTAACAAATTTAATAATTTTTACCGAAGAAGATTCAAACATTATTCTTCGTCATCATTTTTCGTTTGAAGCTAAATAAATATATTATGTAATAATATATTATGTAATAATACATGTAATTAAAAATTCATAAATTACTATAGATGTAGGACTCATGTCAAAATAATCATTGACTTTCGACGAAAATAATCATTTTATAGATTTTTCGAGATAGACTATTTCGAAAATAATCACTCACCTGTTCTCGTGGTATCCTCTGCCATTTCGGTCTAGTACTGCTCTTCACTAACGGCGTCATTCCCTGTCGAAAGAGATTAGCGCTCTTAGAAATGTTTACGATGTTGAATATCACTCGTTGATCTATCTTCACGTTGTCTACGGTGAAGTTAAACCACAAGCGTAATCTGGGACCACAAGTGTCAGGTCTAATAAAGAGATCGTATTCGAATTCAGAGATCAAGTCCACTCTGCCGAGATTGCCGGTTTCAAAGGTCGCATCAAAGCAAATATGGCCCTTCTTAGCTTTACCGCTGTGGCCAGGTGGTCGCATCACCAATTTGTTTACGTTGCCCAGACCACCCTCGACATCACTATCTTCACTCTCTGTAAACAGCGTAAACAGGTCCAATAAAATGATTAAACAAGAAAGATAAACATTTTTTAAATATATTTTTTAAATGTGCTTTTATCGATAATTTCACTCTATAAGAGAAAAAAAAAGATAACGTTGCCAATATTATTTCACGATCGATTCGTGATTTTTAAATAATTTGACGTATAGCAATGAAATATTGGTTTATTCATGTGAGTCATCAAGTGGAACGATGAAGGATGTCTGACCGGCACGCTGATAAAGACTGGTGTGCTCCAAGGGATCTCGTCCCTCGCAAGAGAAGACCATGACTTGTCAAATGACACGGAACGATCTATCGACAAAGCAACATTATCGGGCACTATCGGTAAACGACTGTGTCTTCTGAACGATATGACGAGAGAGCAAGCATAGAGCAAACGACCTATCGGACGGAAGACAATGAGAGACTGACGGCTTTGTGAAACTGGTTCTACATCGTGGAACGTGTTACCGCCTACGTGATAAGAACAGAACCTCCCGATTTTGCTGTACGCTCGTGTCCGCCTTCGTGGAATCTCGCCTGATTCGCAATCTCGCGTGAACGAGTCCGTGCAAGAGAAATGGGAATCGGCTCGTGATGAGAACTCGCGTGGCTGTCAGGCGTCAAAGATCTCGTACGTGCGATCGCTAAACAGTCTGATTTCTCCCTCGCCCACATCGAAATCCAGGCTAAACCGAGAAAACTCGTTTGCGGTCACGAGATCCGAGCTCATTCGGGGCAAGCTCGGAAGTCAACTTTGCTCTCTGATTGATTCGATTCAACAGATGCTGAGATTAGAACACACGGAGTGTGATTGAGAGGCTTGACGAAAGTTGTGATAGTTTTACACGAATTACGGAATTGACGATCGAGATATAATGATACTCAGGTCATTCCTTATCTGGAGGTCGATTAGCTGTGAGTAATATGTATTCTGAGAATCGTCACGTTCACCTATCATGTATATTTTTCGTTATATATATGATCGAATTTTTATAAATGAAATTTTTATAAATGAAATTACACAAGACGAAATCTTTTTTACTTCATTGTATAATTATTTACTAGACATTTATTGAATTTTTAATCGATTATATTTTTAATCGAAAATAATAAAAAAAGTTATATTATAAAATTCTTTTTCTAATAACAATTCAATTAAATTATTTACACAAATCAATTGGAAATAAATTTTCCAACAAAAGATGTCATAAATCAACTATATAAGAATATATGATTACATATTATGATTATATATATTGATTATATTATCGTTGGAAGTAAAGCAATAAAATTATAAAGAATATTTTTATGGTTTGATAAAAAGATATGTATTTTGTATAAAAATAAAAATTATAAAAAAATAGACGATTCAAGATGCTTCAATCATATTGTATACAAGATAAAATTCTATAAAACCGATTTTTATCAAGTTCTTCATGGAAACCCTGCCTTTATCACAATTCATTTGGTATAGCAATAGTTACAGATCTAAATCCAGATCACTCGATATCTATTTCTATCGCATCCGCTACTCGACGACGCAAATGTCGTATTTTATGGCTCTAAAGACACTATAGACCTCCGCTGTAGAAGAAAGGTATACTAACTTTACATCAAGATACGTATAGTTGGATCCATCAATGATTCAACGCGCGGAAACAAAAGAGTTGCACTTTGTCTTTTCAAGAAACGTTGAATGTCTTGTCTAGCCATTGTCTATCTATAGTAACACATATGATGTTCGAACTAACGTAAAATATCGATTATTTGTGATATTTTAGAATAAAGTTTAATTTAACTAATGCCTATGATTAACTAAATGAATATCGATTAATATTCTAAGTAATTTAATGCTTTATAGAATAATAAACTTTAATAATTAAAATTATATGTTTATCAATAGTTTATGGATCTGTTTAATTACATTAATGATTACTGTGACTGGAATTTACACTATAACATTTATAATTGAATTAGAATGTTATTTATCATTGCATTTTTGCATATATTTAAGAGATTAAATGATACTTTTATAAATAAATAAATTCTCTATTTTTTCTCTATTTTATATTAGATGTTAAAAAAATTTTTAATTAATTACTCTGTTTATATAATATTCATTATTTATTCGTTTGATAAACTATAAATATAACACATAAATTATGTTTTTGTTTATAGTAACGTAACATTAGTTTATAAAAAAATAGAATTTTTTAAATTTTCGGAAGTAAACGACTATTTACACATTTCATCGTGATTACGTTAAATAAATATTGCGAAATTCTTAGAACGGAAAATCGAACGACGAGAATGGCGCCCAGAAAGTGCAATTAAAAATGAAAAAAAATAGAAAGCTTGGAAAACGACGAAGAAAGAAAAGAATAACAGAGAAAAAAAGAAAATTGTGGATATATATATATATATATATATATACATCGGCAAACTCACGTTAAATTTTCCACAATTTCTGTTATACATTTGGGAAAAATAACAACGACCATTTTTTACACTCCGTCCTGCTTTAATTGCTGCTGCAATAATATTGTTGTGAGGTGGGGAATTGGAAATTAATAAGATGTTGGAAATACAGATTGTTAAATTATTTTACATTACTAAAATACAACTTACTTTTTGATAATAAAAATAACTATTGCGATCGTGAACTTTAATAAATAATTAATTGCAAGAAAAAAAAGTAATAAATAATATTAATATTATAACTTAAATTTTCTGAACAAGATCAGGCATTATTGTTTTCTCAGGAATATCAATAATAATTAATAATTAATTTCAAATGATCAATGTCACGAAATAAAGAAAAATAATAAGAGAAAAACATCGTTTGTGCTCAGCGGAAATTGACTTTGCGACATACAATTCCACAACATCCCTAAATCACATGCATACTTTATCAAGTAAAACGCGTTCAATTAACTAACTTTCATGTTTTCGATTTCGCGTGCGCGAAGTGGTTCGAAAAAGCCGTCAATTGTTACGTCTTTAGAATTACCTCGATCATTCCAGCCAAGTGATTGACAACCTGTGTTGGTGTTCGCCTACGTCTCCCGAGTGGAGTTTCGAGGTAGTGCGAGATGGGAAATGTCAGGGTGCAATCAGCAAGCGCGTGATGATCCTCGCGTGACCCCTCGCAAAGTGGATTCGATCGATTTGACGGATCGCGAGCGAGATCCATCGAGAACGTGTGCGGACGCGTGACAGGTCGGCGATAGCGCGTGCAGTCACGAATGAGTCCCGTGAATCCCGCTTTGAAGACAACGTATAAAGAGCATGCATGTATAATACATACCGGTATCCTCGGACATGACGGCGAGACACGACGGGACTTGTTCCGAACTGGACCATGCGAACAGCGACTTTGCTTACTGGGCGACATCGTCGCCGAGTCCATCCTGGTTTCCTTGGTTTGTTGAATCGATATGCAATATGCGTCTCGAGCAACGCGGTTATCTTGTACCGCAAACTGTTTCAGATAAGTTGGTAGATGACACGAACTTGTTCGTTGTACAGGAATAAATAAAAATACTTATCTCCGAAGTCTACTTTGGAACGAATTGAACTTGCGGTGCAATGACCTTTTTTATTTATAGTAGCATATGCTGATGTATATTTTTGAATTCTGTTCATCTATAAAATGAAATTATCTCGTTGCGAATAGAGAGCGCAAATATCTGAATATTTAAAGGATGATGTTCTTAATTTATTGTCAGCCTTGTGTTTTAAAAACGAAAACTGTATTTGACATCCGAGTCTTATGTAGGCGTGTAGACTTATCGCGTGACCATTATTATCTGATTCTCTAACTGTAACTATAATGAATTTTTCGAATCGATAACACAACAACTAGAAATTCTCCAAAATAAGAATCTTAATTTTGGAGATCAAAGATTTTGCCCCAGGTGTAATTGTTCTTTATAGTATCCAATTGTATAGTTAATTAGATTGTTACTCAACACTGAAAATTAAAATTTTACGTAGCCGTTCAAACAGACGCTAGTTAGCAGCCAATCACGTTATTTCCAACAAGATCCCGAGCATCGTCCATTTTTCCCTGTTATTTCACTAATTGGCGTACTTATATAATTCTTCGAAAGAAGAAACGAGCGAGAAGGGTGGATACGTAATTGTATCGCATTCTCATAAGAAACATAATACATTTGAAATTTTTTGAATTTCATGTTATGTTCTGAATATATTAGGCTTCAATATTGGAAAAAAAACGATATAATTTCAATTCAAATAGAAAATAGAAAAGAATTGAAAATGAGAGAAATGATACAAATAAAAATAGGAGTAATTTTTTGTGCTTCTTATAATATAACATTATTAACAAATTAATATCTACATTACTTTTAAAATTTGAAATTTGAAATAAGCAATTTGTGATTAGTTCTATTTGACTTATATTTAATACTGTCGTTTAATTTTAAAATACAATTTCTTTTTCTCTTTCCTGAATAATTTAATACTTTTTCACTTACGTCACTTTTCTTGCGGAGATGTGATCTTTGAAACACGTATGCAGTCTTATTCTTAGATCCAAGCAATGCTTAATGTATCCGATAAACGCGCTTGCAATATGGCCGATAAGGTGTGCGATGATATCTATCCTCGGCTAAATTGCGCTTTAGAATGATAACTTGAGATTAAAGAAAAGGAAGAAAGAAGGAGAACGTGGGTGGACGTAAGATCTTTCAAAACATTTCCACAATTTTCACGAGCAAAATGACGACTTGGTCACTTATTTGTCCTTTTGTCGTCGTCTTATAATGAATTTTAAAAAATCGATATAGAGTAAATGAATTGAGACGCGAGGCGGATGCCACGTATAAAGCAAGTTCTCTAAAATTTTTAGAATAAAAGATCACTCTCCAAAATTGAAAATTGGGCCACTCCTTTTCTAAACTGGCTCAATTTTCACTCTTTAGAATGAAATTTCACTCCAAAGAATTTAGAGAGGATGCAACTTATATGAGAATAATAAGAATAATCTGTTGCTGGTATTGATATAATTTTAATATATCAATCATGATGAAGAATGGATATCTTAAATAAATGATTGATACTGAATCATATAACAATGATAAAATAATATATTGCGCTCTGCGATATCAAATATAATATAATAAAATAACCTATTATATGACTTATCTAAGCTTTATGATTTTTTCTGGATTTAATTTTTTGTTAGATCCAAAATTAAAAACTGGTGAAGATTCAAAATGGTAGAAATATTTGATATATTTTTAAAAAATATGAGACATTTTCAAATATTTACACGATTGTAGTGAAGATTTTAAGAAAAAGCTTTTAGATCATATTAAGACACTTTATAACAGTATTATAACATTGAATTACTTTATCTTCTATTTTTCTAATATTTTTCTTACGAAAAAGAGAAGAGCATCTATTTAAATTGTATTGGATACTTATTTACAAACACTAGATATAGTATATTGAGTATACTGGACAAGGTTCGATTATCTCGTTCATATAATGATCTGGTCTTCTACTTTGTTCTTGATTTTCTACAAAACTATATATAATAATCGCGAAAATCGAAATAGGTTACGATGCAACGAATTTCCAAAGATAGGATGCAAATTAAATGATACAAAGAGGAATAAAAAGACTAAAAGACGAATGGGGAATAATTCTGTATAAACATCGCGCTGCAGGATCCGGTAAACCAATTTCCCTCGGAGGATATTTTTCTGGATGTCGGTTAGTGGTGGTGGTGGTGATGGTAGTGACGGTAGTTGGTGGTGGCGCGCGTTCCCTGGTGAATGCCCTCCTCCCCCGGGCTTTGGCTGGGACCTCCGGATGAAACCCCCCTTTTGGCCGTCTCTCCGCATCCTGTTCTGCACCCCTTCCATTACTCTGTGGGAGTACTGGGTGCGCAAAACGAGTGGGAAGAGGGACGAGCGTGGAACTACACGAGAGAGAGTGAATGACTGCGAGAACGCGAAGAGATCGATATTCGAAAGACCCCTCCCCCTCGGTGTCTCCCCCCCCCCCCCCCTGCAA